TTTTTTTTTTTTTTTTGGTTCCGCGTTCGGCCGAACGTCCGAACGCGTGGAGAGGGGGTCCCAAACGTTCGGGCGTTCGGGTTCGGGCGTTCGGCCCGTCTCGAACGCCGGCAACCCTGTATATATATATATTTTTACGTAATACGTATTTGCATTTCCTGTTACACGCTTGTGGTGACCTGGCAGTTGTTGGAAGAGTGGATTGATAAGTCATGAGTTCAAACTTAAGTTCAACGTCGACCATTTCTTGATTTACGTGTGTCATCCTTGCGCAGGGGGCATGCTAATTACCCTTCTCTGTCTTTTTCCAAGTTGAATGGATGTTACACATCAACTTGGAAAGATACAGAGAAGGAAAATTAGCATGGCCCCTGCGCACGTAAAAGAAGGGAGACTGTCTTTTACGTTGTACTTTCTACGCTCTTTCTGGACTTCCCCTCTTATTTGTGTCCTCTATTCACCCGTCATTCACTTTTACTCCAGCAACCTCTCTCTGTGCGGTGTGATACTCCTATCCTCTCCCCTTGCTTCTGTGTATGTATGGGCATACCTGGAAGTCTGTGTGAGCGAGTGTTGGTCTTCAGACAACAAACAACCAGAATCATAACACACACACAGTTGGTGCACTACAGTAGGTGCACTGGACCTAGACTGAGCCGCCAGCCATATGCATTCGATCACTCGATGTACTGCTCGCAACTCAAATGTTGATCTCTCTCTCTCTCTCTCTCTCTCTCTCTCTCTCTCTCTCTCTCTCTCTCTCTCTCTCTCTCCCCCCCTCTTTCTCTCCACCCTCGGTGCCTCTCTCTCTCACCTCTTCCCTCTATGCTCCCTTGTCCCTCCCTCCCTCGACCCCATCCATCTGTCTGTCCCTTCCATGCTTGGGTCAGTCCCGTCCTACCATCCGTTGATCTGTTGTGTGTCTGTCTGTCGCTCCATTGGTTCGATGATCTGTACGGTCAGGTCGTTTCAGTCGGTCGATTGTTCTTGTTCGTCCGTCCATCCATCCATCCATCCACGAGTCCACGACTCCACGCCCCTGGTTATTCGTTCGCCTACCTGTATGCTCATCTGGCAGTCTGCCCATCTTGCCTTCCATCTGTCTTTCGGAGCGCCTGGCCCTCTGTCCTTCCTTCCATGTTACATCTTCTACTCACACGGGTCCTACCGGACCCGACTTAGGGCCGGAGGGACACACCARGGCCTAAAGGCCCGACCTTTGGGGTTTACAGGCCCTAAAGGCCTGATTTTGGACTATCATCCATCGGGTAGGCCCAAACGACACTTCGTTTGGGCCTGGC